GAAATGTGGTTTTTGGAGGTGATTTTTATTAAAATAAAATGTTTAAAGAAGCTTTCTTTATACAGATTAGTGGTAATTACATTTTTAAGGTATATAAGTGAAATAAAAAGACTGTGTCCCGCTGTATTACTCAGGCTGCGCTACAGCGTCTATTCACAGGCGCGATCCCACTACTGAGCGGCACGGGGGCTTTGACCTGCTCCGTTTCCGACCTGGGCCGGTGCACCCCTCCTTAGACGACCTGGTGGTCCCGGGCTCCCCCAGGAGCACCATATCGATACCGAACTTAGTGCGGACACCCGATCGGCATAGTGCACTGCAGCTCAGAGCTCCTGAGCTCAAACGATCCGCCAGCCTCAGCCTCCCAGTAGCTTGGATTACAGGCGCGCGCCACCGCACCCGGCGATCACAACTGCTGCTGCTAGTGCTTTTATCTCTTAGCCAGATGACGTCATTGGACACAGCAGCCATATTGCTTTTTTAGTAGACTTTTATTTTATGTTATCAAACTAAAATCTAATCTTTATTTTTTTTCTACTAACAAGAAACAAACCAAAAACATAATGATTGTTTTTTTATTACTAAGCCTCCATTTTTGTTCATTCATGCGTCCTCCGTTTATTTACTATATACACCAAAATAATCCTCGTCTTAAAGGTAAAAAAAAGTTTTACCTGCTGCTTGAGAGAAGCTATTATATCGCTAAAACAGTTTTATTATTTTACTTCTTATTTCTCTAAAACTGAACTTTGCTACCTTTCAAATCCAAAGAGCAATTTGCCCTGAATCCAGCTAAATAAAGGTCGTTTAGAGCAGAAAAATATTACATTAATTTTTAACAATCAGTTTCTATTTTAAGTAACCAGCAGTTTATTTGTATTTTTAGATTTAGAAAATAAACAGAATAAAAAGAAAAAGCACACATTTTCTTCTATAGGGTATTTTCTGAGATAAATAAACATAATTTTAAGAGCTAATTTACAGAAAAATAGCTCTAAAACATATTTCTGGTTCTTTTAATATCACTCTGTTGTAAAATAAATTCTATTCAGATATTCTTTATTAAACTACTAAAGCTTCTACGACTGGCATTTATTATTATAGTACCCTAGTTAGTTGTTTATATTATTTTTAGCCACTATTAGGAGCCATTGTTGAGGGTCTTAAGAGCCACATGTGTCTCCAGATCCACTGGTTGCAGATAACTGCCCTAAAATGTGGCTTTTCTGCCGGGTTTGGTGGATTTAGAAGTTGTAGATTAGGAAATATATCTGCAAATATTTCCTTTCGGTTTAAGACACCCAGATACAACTATGTTCCAAAAGAAACCAAATCTCTACTGTATTTTATTATTGTATCCACACCTCTCCTGGTTTTTACAGAAGAAGATTAGGGCCAGTGGAAAAAAATAAATAAAAGTGAACTGATTTTTAAATTTTATTTCAGTTTAGTATGGGAAAAAAAGTCAGAATTCTGACTTTTTTCTCAGAATTCTGACTTCAATCTCAGAATTCTGACTGAATTCTGACAATAAAAAAAAGTCAGAATTCGGAGAAAAAAGTCAGAATTCGGAGATTAAAGTCAGAGTTCTGATTTTTTTTTTTCAGAATTTTGACTTTTTCCCCATACTAAACTGAAATAAAATTTAAAAATCAGTTAACTTTTTCTTTTTTTTTTTTTCCACTGGCCCTAATCCTATTCCGTAGGTGTTCAATATTTTCTTCCAGGAAAAATATTTATGGCATCATCATTGTGATATAATCGGTTATTGCTCAACATTTAAAGCATGTTAGATTTTTTTTGATACCCAGATTTAATGTGATTATATCAAAGGTGAATCATTTCTTAATTTTGTGACACCCCTGGCCTTTGCCTTTATTTTGCCGACACTTAAAAGGAGGATGATGAGAGAACTGCTTTTCATTAATCTAGATCTGTCAGATCTGTGTTATTAAATTCTAAATTATAAGGAGTAAAATAGTTTACAAGATAAATCAGAATATTCCGTCGTTGGCGTTTTTCCCTTCCTGCTACTCTAGACTAGTTGTTATATGCTGCTAAATCCTCTTTATTCTTTTAGTTAGTCCGTTCATTACAAAGGTAAATATATGAGCTGTTTTAAAGCGTTTAATAAAGAGTCTGACTAGCAGGATGCATTTTTACCAATATAATTGACAAGAATAAAACCTATATAAGTCTGAAAAGGAGCCATATGATGAATTTTGCGTGAATTGGTTAGGAACTAATTTGAAAACAAAAAGTCTTGCCAAAGATTCAACACATGAAAACGCTTTGATCTGATCTGTTTAAATCTATTTCTATAAAAAGGGCTTTAGAAATGCTGATTGTGTAGTTGAGCAGCTGTGAGATTAGGTTCATACAGCAGATTTTTGTTCTTCTTTATGAATTTATAAAGTCAAAAATTAAACAAACATTAAACATCAAACATTTAGTGTCCTTATGTGTATGCAATATTTGTTTAAAACAAATATAGACACAGTTGGCTGGTCAGGAGTGTAATTATTCATGAAAAACGTGGTGGAGGGAAAAAGTATGGAAGGGATTCACACAACATTGGTTAAACAAAAGGGTTTTATTCTAACACTGTTCATGAAGACAAAAGTTCATGCATGATTGAAAACTAAATGTTACATTAGGAAAAAATAGCACAGTCCAAATGTTTGCTTTTTTTAAAATCACACTGGAAAACAACCAACAGCTAGACACGGTTTTCTTTGGTAGAAATGAGAGAAATGACATCAAAGGTATAACAAAAATAAGCTTGAGGTGTAATGGAGTAAAAAAAGGCAAAAATGTCGTCATTCCAAAGAAATGAAGGTGCTTTTTAATGTTTTTCCTTTTAATTCAATGAAATTCCCTCTGAAGGAGCCCTTCTCTCAGGAGCAAACTCACTTCCTGCAGCACTTCATTTATCATCATCTGTCACTGGGATTTTCCCAGTCTTTAAGGAAGTTCCGTTTATATATATAAAAAAATAACACAACCACAGTTTTTAAAATGCCGGTATCATCTGAAGAGTCAATGAAAAGAAACATTAAACACACCCACCTATGTTTTTTTTTTTTTTTCAAAGTAAATAAACTATTAAAAACACGTCAGGAACTAAAACAGGAAGGTATTGCCATATATTACAACTAGAATCCTGTTTTTTAAGCTAAAACTCAGGGAAAAAAAACACATAAGTCCAACAGGAAGTCAACAGCCAGACCATGGAGGTGACCTCAAATGTTTTAGGGGAGCATAATACTAATAACAAAGTATCTATTTATTGATAATTAGCTTCAGCTGAATCCTTTTTTCTTCTAAGTGTCAGAGCTAAATGATTTGAACTAGCTTGTAAACTCTCCAAACTACTGTTCCGAGCTAACGTTTCTACTAACTTCCTTTAACCACCTCAGAAACCTTCCTTCCCAGAACACAAATGGGCGCAGGAGACTTTGCAATTACTCCTTTCCTTCTCATGTTTTTTATGTACTGAATGTAACGTTTTAATTTTTC